AAATTAAAAAACAAACGAACGCAGATATATACGTAATGATGGTGACCATCGAGACACTGACGAAGGAACAGTTGAAGGACTTCTTACAACAGCAAGAGTTATCCACTACAGGCAATAAGGCAGAATTAGTTGCAAGATTAACTGAACACGTGAAGGCAAGCGGCGTAGTTTTACAATTTACGAACGATAATGAGGAATTGCGGGGTGAAAACGAAGAATTGAGAAAACAAATTAGCGAACTGCGGCAAATGGTGCAACAAGTGGCCATTAACCAGAATAACGGTAGAAACAATCAAAACAGTACTTCAGAAATGCCTAGTAAGGACCGTAACGCGCATTCTATACGAGAAATCGCAGAAGTTTTGCCCGAATTCGACCCAACGAATGAAGATTCTATTACGGCTACGCAATTTGTCGAACGTGTTGAAGCTGTTATGTCTGTATATGCGTGGCCCGAAAAAAGTGTGCTTCTTGCAGTGTATAGCCGTTTGAAGGGTGTAGCGCGCATGTGGGTGGACGCATCACCAAGAATGCATGCTACTTGGAAGGAGTTCTCAAATGAGCTTGTCACCGAGTTCGGTTGCGAATACGATGAAGCGGATATACATTACAATATGTCACGCGTTGCTCGAAGGCAAAACGAAACAATAACTGAGTTCATTTTTCGTGTCTCTGCGCTAGGACGACGTCATAATCTTAGTGAGATGGCTATCACGAGATACGCCCGAGAAGGATTAAAACATCGAGAACTACAAATGGCGATTGCTCCGCAAAAATTCGTATCCGTTAAAGAAATGCGTGAAGCATGCGAGAACTTTTTACAAAATTGCATTAAGATAAACGAAAAGCCTTTTCATAATGCGGGTGAAAGCGAACAAAGAATACAATCGTTCAGTAAGGCAAAGAATGTTATGTGTTACAATTGTGGTAAGTCAGGGCACTTGTCAGTAAATTGTGCAAGACCCCCAAAACGTCCTCGTTGTATAGATTGTAATAAGGTGCACCCCAAAAATGAACAGCAAAATTGCGGAAAACCATCAGCTTTCGTGCGAAAAACAAGTATTATCGACAATAAATTTCTTAAGAAAATAACGATTGGTGGCAAGCAAGCCATTGCATTTATTGATACTGGAAGCGAATGTAATATGGTCCGAGAAACATTTGCCAACGATATTGGTGGTACGCGCAGCAAAAACCTATTTACCATCAGTGGATTCGGTGGTGGTATAGAACGATCTGAGATACAAATCGACACTGATTTGAAAATCGATTAAGTTGAAAAACCGTTGACGTTGCACGTCTTCAAAGATCGTGTGTTGAATTACGATTTATTGCTCGGGGACGAAATATTCAATAGCGAAAATATACGCGCCGTATATGACAACGGACAGTTCAAATTCGAAGACAAAGTAAAAACGACGTGTAAAATAATAAACTTAGTCCAATAACGGAGGATGACGTGTGTATGGACACTGTAAGTTCGGATTCTAAGGGAAAGCTGTTAGAGGTGATGAATGAATTCCGAGAATGTTTCGCTACAGGTATGGATGGAATCGGCAAAACTAGTGTAGTCGAAATGAAAATTGAGTTAGCGACCAACGAGGTAATCGCACAAGTCCCGTATAGAGTTCCGGAACCGAAAAAAGAAATCGTTGCGAAGAAAATCCAAGACTATTATAGCTCCGTCCGAATCAAGTTATGCGAGTCCAATGTTGCTTGTGAAGAAAAAGAATGGCGAACATCGAAGCGAGCACCGAATGGCGCACGTCGACGCACTAAGTCGTATGCCTAACGAAGACGGTTGCGATCTTGAGGAAGCGACTTTGCGAGTCTGGAAGGCGGAAATAACTGAGTCAGATTGGCTTTACAGTATGCAATTACAAGATAGCAAACTTCAACAAGTCGTAATGAAAATTGAGGATAAGGATTCAGACATTATTAACGACTATAAAATAATTAACGGACGACTTTACAAACGGTATAAAAACCAACAGCTCTTCGTAATACCAAAGGCTTTGCGATGGAAGGTGACACATGATGCACATGTTAAAACAGGACACTTAAGCGTTGACCGAACGATTGAATACTTACTACGGTCTATGTGGTTCGCTCGAATGCGAAACTTTGTCAAATCTTTTGTGAAAGCGTGCATTGATTGTGCCTTCACTAAGCGTCGAGGAGGTAAAAAGGAAGGTGAGTTACATTGCGACAAAATGGAGCCTATTCCGTTCAAAACAATACACATTGA